CAGAAATGAATGCTGGGGTCATATGACCCCAGTCAGGTATCTACCCAGCCTCCTCTTAAAGACCCCCAAGGTAGGAGTGAGCACCACTTCCCTTGGAAGTTGGTTCCAAGTCCTAGCCACCTCAACTGTAAAGTAATGCCTCTGATGTCTAGCCTGAACAACTCTCTATCAACTTGTGGCCATTATTCCTAGTTCCCTCATGTGGTGCCTGGGGGAACAGGGTATCACCTATTCCCTGCTGGTCTCCCCTGGTGAATTTGTAGATGGCCAGCAGATCCCCCCTCAGCCTTCTCTTGTGGAGGCTGAATAGGTTCAGGCCTTCTAGTCTCTCCTCGTATGGCATGCCCTGCTGCCCCAATCATGTGAGTGGCCCTCCTATGGACCCTCTCAATGGTAGCCACGTCTCTCTTGAAGTGCAGTGCCCAAAATTGGATGCAGTACTCCAACTGTGGTCTGACCAATGCTGCATAGAGGGGGAGGATCACCTCCCTGGACCTGCTTGTGATGCATCTGTGGATGTATGATAAGGTGCAGTTATCCTTACTGACAGCTTCTTGGCATTGGCAGCTCATGTTCAACCTGGAGTCAGCAATGACTCCAAGATCCCTTTCCACCTCTGTGCTGACGAGAAGGGAGTTCCCCAGCCTATAGGTATGCTGCTGGTTCCTGCTCCATAGATGTAGTACCCCGCACTTGTCCACGTTGAATTCCATCCTATTCTCATCTTCCCACCTCTGTAACCTGTCCAGATCTGGCTGGATTCTGTCCCTCCCTTCTGGTGTGCCCAACTTGCCCCACATCTTGGTGCCATCAGTGAACTTGGACAACGTGCTTTCCACCTCCTCGTCCAAATCATTGATAAAGATGTTGAACAGTACGGGGGAGGTATAGCACCACCTGCAGTGGCCAGGGCCCCCAGTCCCTGCTCCAGATCCAGGCCCCTCAGTGGCCAAGCCCCCCACTACCCACTGCTTGCTCCAGCTCCATGTGGCCCCTGAGCAGCCGCGGCCCCATACAGGCCTAGTAAGTAAGAAGATTTACGGGGGGTGGCACATGCAGCTAAGCAGGGCCTTAAATGCCTATATACCAATGCTTATAGTATGGGGAATAAACAGGAGGAACTCACCCTCAGAATAGCCAGTTCAGACCCAGACATAATAGGGCTTACAGAAACTTAGTGGGATTCATCCCACAACTGGGCAGTTAGCATTAGGGGCTATAGGCTTTACAGGCAGGATAGAGAAGGAAGGAAAAGTGGGGGTGTGGTGCTCTATGTCAAGGAGCAATACACATCCTCTACCAGCAAAATGGGGTCAGAGGGGCAAGTGGAAGTGCTCTGGGTCAAGATACAAGGGGGCCGTGGGGAGAGGGATCTAACGGTGGGGGTCTACTACAGACCCCCCAACCAAGGGGAGGAGCTGGACCGGGAATTTTCGGGCCAGCTTGCAGAGGCACTTAAGGCAAGGGATGTAGTTGTCATGGGTGATTTAAATTACCCGGACATCTGCTGGGAGGAACAGTCAGCCAGGTCGGACCGTTCCAGGAGGTTCCT